AAACTGGTATAAAGATTAGGTATAGAGGTTTTCCACTATTTTCCACATGCCTGAGAAAATACTATCACAAGAAATTGATATCATCTCTGACTGCAGAAGGATGCTTGCTCCTCTTGCTGCCATTCACCTGATGCTGGGACTATGGCAAACTCCACATCACAGTTCATCTGCTCATCAGAACTGGCAGGCACCCCTCTGTGTTCTCTCCACAACTCTTTGATAGAAAGAACTGGAGACAAAACGACCAACATAAACATGGGACAAAAAAAAAACATCTAAACCAACTAATATTAAAATAATTTTAAAATATCTAAAAAAAAAAAAAATCATTCCTATATCCCTAATTGTCCAGTTGAATGCATCATGACCAGAATTAGCAGCTAAGATAAGTGAATTCTAGTATATTCAATGTTTTCATTACATTCCCAGCTCCTGTTACTGACAGGTTACATAGCTGTTTCAGTTCCACCCAAAGTTGCAGGCTTGTAGCCTGTAGGGCTCAAAAAAAAAAAAAAAACCTTCTTCCCATCCCCTTACACTCCCCCCAGTTTTAAATCTCATCATTTCAATTGCCTGAAGGCTGGCTTCAGGTTTCTTCTTACTCATATTATGACAATTTTTCAGCAAGGCAATTGTTTTGCCCCCAAATGCACCACAAACCATTATTGTCCTGGGACAACCGAGAACTCTGCCTGGGAGAAATCAAAAATCAAGTGAGCGTCACAGAAGTCACTGAAACATTTCTCACCTCACAGGCAAAAACGTGGGAGGAAGGGTTTACCTAACACACACTCTGGGAAGTTTTCCAAAATCTTTATTTAAGAAGTGTATAGTCTGACACGGTTCCCTCCGAAGCCCTGGAGAGACGCTGGAAATATCCACGTGAGGATAACGCATGAATGAAAGAGATGTACTAAAATCCTGTTCCAAACTATGGTTCATGTCACTCTGTTTCAAGGCCGATCTGCACTGCAACCACGGAAACTCCGACCCAGCACTGCTGTCTTCCTCAGCACATTCCTGCTGGATGACACTTCACATGAACACGTGTGAAATTCGTACCAGAAGACTCATCTGTCACACATCTCTCTCCTACACCCAGGATTGTCGTGCATTTTCTTCTGATGTTCTTCTTTTAAAAAAACCAAAAAGCACTGCTGATGACAGCATGCTAGATGAGAAGGATATTTGATCTGATTTAATATGGCAATTGCTTGCTCAGCTATTTTATTAATTGAGACCGTTAGCAATAACTGCAACCAGTTACTGGAATTAATTTGTTGCCTGAAATTTGCAACCAACAAGTTGCAGCCCTGCTACTGGTCCATCAGGTCCTTCCCAGCTGTAGTCCAGAAAAGCTTTTTTCTTCAAATTACCAAACTAACAAAGCATCTCCACACAAACAAACAAAAAACCCCAGAAAAAGCAGCTCCTGACTCTTCCCAATTTTTCTCTGCATCCAACTGCTCCACAGCATGTCCAGCCCAGCCTGACAGCAATCAGGATCACACCTCCTCTGCAGCTCTCCAAGTTTCACTGCAATTTCCTTCTGGATCAAATCTTTTGACTGCAACTCCTGGCTCACCCTAGAAGTTCTCAGGATCAATCCAGCCACTATCATCCAATGCATAAATCAAGCTTTCCATGCTTTTGTAGTAACTTCTTCAGACCTCCAAATAAATCAGGTACCCCTTGTACGATTTTTGTTTAGACATACAAATTTCCCCTTATTATGAACTCAGATCAGAGCACCATCACGTTGCTCAGGCATGTTGCTCCTGCACTGGGAAAGCAAACAATGTGAGTGGAAGGAGTGGTTCCACCAACAGCCCAATTCCTAAATTTAGTGCCCCTGTATCTTTTCAGTAACAGCTTTTTAAGGGCAAGCTGTGCTATCTCACAAAGATTCTTCACCACACACCCCTCCACTGTGCACAGGGAATCCTGACAGCATTGAGCCCAGCAGTCACCAATAGCCCCAGGGAGTGCTCTGGGGCAGATTTAGAGACATCTGCCCTCTAGATCTTGCCTCTGAGGAAAACTAATGGAGGCAGCAGGTCTGGAGAAGCTTAAGAAATACTGATGTCTTCAATCAGGAATCATGAAAGGGAAGAGTAACAGCTCCTTCTGTTCTCTCTTCCCCAGCACAGAGTTGTGGTGTCACATCCAACCAAATCCAAAGTTGATAGTTTTCTTTCTGTGAGGTAAAGCTCTTTCGTCTTCATATCCACTTCATTCTGCATAACCATTTACTTTATGGAGTATTGACCCTCCAAATCAATCTCAAAAATAGCAAATCAAATTACAAAATATCCTTGCTTATTTAAATAATTCCTTTCTATTTTAACCTCTGCGTGGCTTTCAGCAAACTGAAAGGAAAAGTCCAGAACAAGGCTGACAAGTTCAGTAGTGAGTGGGATGAAATTGAACAACAGTGCATCATCTTGTCCCAGGGCGCCGTTTGTATCTTTACTGTTTATCTTTAGGATTTCAGCTAATTTTCTAATAAAGTATTTCCCTTTTTAATTTAATTCCCTTAAATTAAAATACCAAAGAAATAAACTTTCTACTTTACTATTTCTTAAAAAATGAAATTTACAAAAGTTTAAAACCACACATAAAATCAGGTAAATTCATATAGTCTCATCTCAAAATGTCATCCCTTTCAAAATGTTTAAATGCTAAAACATTGGTTCTGCATATGTAGCAAACAGACTAAAAGGGAATGACATGTCAGCAATCTGTCTGTTATCCAACGTGACAACTGTGTTTCTCACTCAGAATAACCAGTCTCTCAGAAGAGTAATGTACATCACAGATTCTCTCAGTTTTCAGTAGTACACTATCTCCATTTCTCCAGGGACATTATCTTTGAACAACATATCACTCTGCCCTTGGAACCATCAAACTGACATTTGACAAAACTGTGGACGGCTTGTAGGTTAAATTTAAAACTCCATTGAACCTCCCCTTGCACATCTCACTGAGCTCTGGCCTCCCATGGAAACAATTAGGAAGTCCAACATTAGAGCTGGTGGGAAACTTTCTAGCACTGGTCAATACAGTTCACATGGAAAAAATATCCATCTCTTGCTTATCTGCAGGAAGAAAAGTTTGGGGAGTATCTAACCTGCTGTAACCAAAAGGTGTGGGGATGTCACTGTACTGATGGTTGTACTCAGAATATTTTTATCTTAGTACAGGCAGGTGCACATGAGGGCATTATGCCAATATATTTGATTTTCTTGTTTTTCATGAGTATTAATAGCCTACCACGTTTTAAAACCAATGCAGCATTTTCCTAACCATAAAAATCTCCTAGGAGTATGGATGACTAAAACGACAGCTAAGAACATACGGATCAGCAGAAATTATGGAAATTAATAGATCTGTTTCTTGAATTAAGTTTTGACCTTAATGAAGATTCAAGCTGAGAAAACTTAACACTTCACTGAATACCCACAATAAATTCTAATCATACTCTACAACTTATCTGGGACTCCAGGGATGGAAGTGGGCAGAGTTATGCAGACAGTTTGCTTCAACAAGGTCAGTTGGCTTTTTAGGTCAATAAAACATAACAGAAATTGCACCTCCAACTGCTGAACAAATGTTTCTGCATACCAATCATTGAATTCCAGTGAAATCAACCATAATGACAACCACATAGCATAATACCTTTCTTTAGACTCTCTTGAGCTAGAGAGATTTTCTCTTGAGCTAGAGAGAATGTTGAATATGCTCTGATAGAAAAGTGAAGTGGTCACATTCAGATAATTTCATCATGGCCAACTCCATAATAAATGCATTTATTTAACTTCTGGAGGAAAGAAAAGTTCTGAAACTTAATTGTTGAAGTATTTTCACAATCTTGGTGCAACAATTATCCCCTCAAGCACATAAAAATATACTTGAAGTTGATAGACAGTAAATTTAGCATTCATCCAATTCATTACAGCAATCAATGAGCCCCAAATTTCAGAAACAAAACTTTTCATCTGGAAAGTAACTTGTGATTGTGGCATGCACTAAAGATCATCAGGAGGGAAAAAAGCCTTGTCATCTTTTTGCAATGAGCCATCTTTAGCTGTGCAATTTGAAGACATTCCGGTCAGAGACTTCTCCGACATGTCTGAACTGTGAATTGTGCTTGGTCTTGACTCTCCCAAGAGAAAACATCAAAAAGATGTTTTAAGACTTTGCTAACTTAAAATTTACAACCACCCATAAGCATGAGAAAGAAAATTAGCACCAGGGCCTACTAAGAGAAAAAAAAGTCAACCAGATCCATTTTTGCTTCCAACAAGTACCACAAGGCATGTAATACTTGAGAAGTTTACTCAGAACCAGTGTGCAGAGACAAATGCCAGCTAAACTAATCTACAGCCTGGAAGAATTCAAAACACAGACCTGACTAGATGAGGTTACATCCAAACACAGCCTAAAAACACATACAGACAAGTCCTGTACAGTTATGTGCTGGTCCAGAATCCAGCCAGCAAAACCAGCTACAATGTTCTGAACCACTGCAACTCCTCATATTCTGTTTGTAAGCAGTAAAAGGGGCAATGCAAAGTATTAAGAATAAGTCTCTGATGTTCAGTATAAATCTCTCTGTATACAATTGCCACTGTTCATTCATTACCTGCTGGGTTGGGCTGTCTACCAAAAATTATTCCCAGTGTTAAACTTCCTAAAAAAAGATAACAAAAGCAAAACCAAAAGAAGAAAAAATTTCACAAAAAAACAACATATGAATTGAATATGTTGCTAATAACCATTTTTTCTTGCAGGCATTCAAGAAAAAGATTCATTTACTGGAAAGTTTCTGGTCTAGAAATGAAATGACCAAAAACTTCACAATAGGGACAAGCAGAATAAAAACAACAAAATACAAACAGAAGTTAATAATGTGGGATCAAATCAACCAAATAAATGAAGCATCAATGAAAACCTTCATTGTGGAAGGAGGATTAAGTAGGAGAGCAGAAAATACTGACCTGGAAGTCAAGCTGGTTGGAGTAGGGATGAAAGCAGCAGTTTGGAGAAAAACAGATAGGGAGGAAGACAGCAAAAGAGAATAAAGGGAGGAACACATTAGTTCTTCAAAAATATAACAAGCAGATGTTATATTAGCAGATTATTAAAAAGAAAAAAAAAAGAAAAGGAAAGAGAGGGGAAAGAAAAGCAGGAACTAAAATGAAATTTCTGCAGAGCTACATCCTTCCTGTGCACTGAAGAAAACAAACTTTAAATCAAAAGGGTATCTTGTCATTAGTGGACAGCAGAAAGACATCCATATTTATAACCATCCAAATTCCAAATTCATAAACACACCAAACAGAACAAATAAATTGGATGAATACTGGCAGCACTTGCTGCCCCGCAAACATCTTGTCATATTCCACAAAGTCCTTCATGTGAACTGTCATAGGCTGGTGACCCTCATTCCTCAACTCTTCCAATGGCAGTCAAAGCAGCTAAACAATTTGGCAACTTGTTCAAAGATATTAGAAGTTCACAAAGCACTGTAGCTAATAATCAAAGATGAAGATTTGACACCGCACCCCAACCCTGGAAATGCAGCCTTTTCCAATGCTGATAGCAAATTTTTAATTCAGTATGAAGAGAACTAATACTTCAGCACTGAAAATACTCTGATTTTTGACAACTTTATTTGTTAAAAAAATACCTAACATACCCTTTTCAAAAACTAAGTCTAAAATAATCTCCACACAGCTAGACTAGTCCTTAAATCTGACACACAGCATTTTGTGCTTTTAAGAAAAGGAGCATACTCAACAACCATAAACGTACATTTTTTAAAATGCAATTATTCCACATACTGATGCTTTGTCTCTTGTGCAATGACTTGTCACTGCTGTGTAGACTTACCTTCATGATAATTCAAATCCAAATTAATTCAGAATTAATTAATTGTAGTCTGAATACCGCAAGAGCTTGAATACATAGCTATAGTGTTATACATCCACTGCATATGAGAAGTGGATAACAGAAAGAAAAAACTTCTTGTTTAAGAACAAACAGGTTTGTCTCATAGTTTAATATTTTTAAACAGACTTTCATATTGTTGCAATCTTTGCTGAGAAGCTACACTTTGCCAAGCAACTGACCAAGTATCTCACATACCACTGGAGAAACATGGATCCAAGATTTTGCAATCTTCACCACGCTGGCATCACCTGCTCACTCTTTTCAGTCTAAATTTACCAATGCATAATTTATATTGTATTATGTGCCGGTGCTTTTTTACTGAAATCACTCTTCTTTCCCTGCAGTGCTTATCCCTTCCCACATTTACACAGAACAGGCATCCCTACAGAGCTCTGTTTAGCCAGAGAAACAAACCACTGTTTCTTAGAGTTCTCCTGTGTCATGAGCACTTCATTCCTTCTTACCAGCCCTCACTGCACCTGTTGCCAGCTTTAATTCAACTTCCTAGCATATGACTGATGATAAGTACACAGCAGAGCTCCACACAGAGCCCTGCCAGCACCTGATGACATTAATACCTTCCTATCCTTACTGCAGATATTTATTCTGACATATCAGGATTCACTCCTCATTATTTAGATCTCTGCTTCATTATTTAGATGGCTCATAATGACACAGCCATAAGCAAATTCACCCAATCTTTCTTTTCCTGAACTCTATCAAGGATTATCCTTAGTTTATATCAGGCAACCTTACTGGTCCTAACTTCACAAACATGCATTTTATGCCACTGTATTTCACTTCATTCTGTGATTCAAACTCTCTACCACATTTCATAAACATACTTCTCATTCTAACACCATTAATAAAAGCTTTAAACAATATACTCCTTCAATCCTGACAGTTCTGTTTCAGCTGCAGCTCCCTCTCCTTGGTGAGGCTCTTGGCATTAAAACTTGAGCTGATCACTACCTTATTCGGTTTCATTTATATTATTTTAAAAGTCCCACAAAAATAAAAAACAAAAAACCCTGAACCACATTTCCTTCATCAAGAAAACCAAAGAAAAACAGCAAGCTAAATTTAACGAAAGCACGTTATGCATTAAATGTAATATCTTGCATTTGATTTTAAGCTTTTTTTAATTATAAACAGATAAATTGTGATAACTTTTATTACAATTTTAAAATAGCTTAAGTATAGAAGAAGGAGTAGCTTCTCCTGTGTAGTAATAAGAAACTGTAAAAAAAAAGTTAATATAGGGAGAGTAATTAAAGAAACAGACCAACGTGATTTTATATGAGCAATATTATTAATCTGAAGTGATGACGCTCAGAGAAGTGTGATAGTTTCTGAGCCAAGGAAATCACATTAAAATCAAAAGAATTACCATTCACATGAAAATTTCTTCATAACTATTAAAAATGTTCATCTGCCAAGTAGCACACACTTGTAAATTTAACTGCCCATATCTCAAAGCAGATATTTCTACCCCTGAGTATTTGACACTTCCTGTGTCAATACTTTCTGACTAGTAGAACATTAATATTCATCGCCTTGTTTTAATTTTTGTTTGAATTTGTAAATGATAACTTTATTACAACCATTTTTACCTTTCAAACTTATTTATAGAAGCACACTTCATTATGTTGAAGAATTCCTATGAATATAACAAATATTGTGAGGATACCACAGCTTGCAATAGTCTAGATTATCACTTCCTCAGAAATCTATGTTGATATATTTTGACAATTTATCTTGTTGCAATTATCTTGCAGTGTAAAGATGTTGGCACAGCAGCGAACGTGGATCCCAGCAAGCTGTGAATGAATAAATGCATTTTAATGTCACATTCATTTTCCTACAGGACCCCAGAGATGCCCTTGCATATGGAGCTTGAGGAAATGTCAAATATATGCTAAAGGTCCATAGCAAAGTTTAACAACTCCATCACATTCTAAGTCCAGTACTTGAATGTTCCAAACATGAACACACTTCCAAAGTGTGTTCACTCAGCAGTACCACATTATTTTCTGAGAAGTTATTTCAGGGTCAACACCCTCATCAGCAATAACAGACTAGAAATTGGTGCTCCTAAACTTCACTGCTAAGAGTATGACAAATTTGAAAAGAAAATGAATACAAAAATATAAAATTCTCACCCATTACAGGATTCTCAGACAATAGGAACATTGTATGCTGACAACGCTGTACCAGTATCTCTGGACCAGTTGGTTCCTTGTGTAAAAAGGTTCCAAGATCTATTTAATTACAAAGGGTATAAAACAAATCCCAAAACCCTCCTCTCTCCATTATGGAAAGCCTCAACAACCTTTCCAGACACAAGACAATCACTATCTGGTCAACATCAGAAAATATTCTTTTGAAGCAAACAAAGACTATGGGAACACCAAGAAATAGTTAGAGCTATTATTAAATATTCATGAGATGGGTTAGAAATACTTACCAATACTTTTCAGGATCTCTGAGAGTGACTGATGATGTTCACACTTGAAGAAACATGTGGGGGCAGGTCTGATTCACCAGTTACTAAAAAGACAGGCTTGTTCCCCAACGCTGTTTTCTGGGGGGTTGTTGTGCCTGTAAATCGCACGTGACCTTTCCTAAACACGCTTGTTTTATGAAAAGTATTAAAAATGGAAACCTTAAATTTTTCCAAAGTCAGCCAACAGGAGATATAGTTCTCAAGTAGCCCTGTTTTGTTCTTTTACAAAGCATAACCAATATACTCTTAAAAAACATACTCTGCTTGTAACCTCTGCTTCTGAAATGAAGATCAAGTAAGCAAAAATGTTACTCAATATAAGACAATACAAAAATTACCTTTCTAACTCAGCAATTTTCTTATCTTTGTCATTCTTCTCATTCTCTACTTCCTTGAGTATTTCTAGAAGTCTGTCAACCTCAGCCTGAGCTTTGCCACATTCTTCTCTATAGTATGAGGCCTCCTTGTCAAGCTGTTTCATTCTGTCTGCAAATTCTGGATTCATCCGTGCCTCCTCTTCAGCTTCATGAGCCTTCAGAATCAATATTTCAAAAAAGATAAGGGTGACAATAACTTAAATAGCTTTAAAAAGCTTTACTTCTTCAATCTCGGAGTTCGAGTTTAAAAAGGATTATGGGTATTCCTGTCTGATGCATTATAAAAAAAATGAAAATATCTACATAGTCAAATTCTATCGTCCTGAAAGGGGAGGGGATTTACTAAGGGGTTTTTTTACATATTAAAGTGACCCCACTTTAAAGGTGTTTTTTCAAATTTAACAAAGACTCACCTTGTAATTCATTAAATTCACATTAAGTCCAGTGTGTTTTGACTATATAGGCAATTTCTTAACAAATTATGTCCTCTTTCCCTATACAGAAGCATACACATTTTGTCCATGTATAAATATACAAACACAGATACATATATATACATATTGTATATACCTGTATCACCAGATGCCTCAAATGCAGTTTGATACAAAGAATTTAAAGGAAAGAAACTGTTTTTAATGCAGAGGTGATTTTAAAAGATAAACCAATAAACTAAAGAAGCTGATTTCAGCAGACATCTTACCCAATAATCCTTTTTAGCCTACCATTAATACTTAACCTGAAACGTCAGAGGAACAAGGCCATTGGTGAAAACAGCACAAACCTGGCAAACACATGCATGGATGGGTGGGAGTTCCACAGACAAGATAGAGAGCAATGAAAACAACAACAGTGCAGAGCCCAGGCCAGCTCCCATCAAACCTAATGGCAAAAACCCAATTAACTTCAATGGGAGCACGACCTGGCACCGAGTGCTTTCAACTGTTGGCTGCAATAATCACAGACAGATGGAAACAACAATGCACTGCAATGCTTAGCCTACCCCTTGCTTCCCATTATTCCTAATTGGCATCTTGAAAGAGAAGGCAAGGAAAAAAGAAGTAGTTTAAGGCAGTGCACATCAAACATAGAAAATTCAGGTAACATACAGGATTTTTTACAGAAATTCATGATACTTAGAACTGAAGGTCCTCCAACTATCTTAGTACGCAGAGAAGACATGGACTTACTTATCCTTCTTAATTTCAGGGAATGGACAATGCAAGCAAGCAATGAAAGAAATGCAGATCAAAATGAAGCATGCATGTTTGGGGAAGAACTAATATAAACTACAGATACTAGAAGGTCCATATTCTTTGCAATGGTTTTCTGCATAAATGAAGAACAAGTCTGAGTTTACTCTAAATACAACAAAAAATAGAAATTAGTAGGGAAAAACTTAGGTGGTTTGCATGTAACATATCATTTAAGCATGAGGATAATAAGAAAAAGATAGGAGATTTGAAGTGTTATTTATCCTGCTTGGAGGTTTTTACTCAGAAGAAATAGAAGGCAAGGGAATGACATGAGGAGCCTAATAAACCTACTGGCCTTGCTCTTCAAAAATCTCTGTTTTGGTACATGCTCCAGTCCTGAATTCCATTCCATACGACTTTTTAAACCCAGAACTCATTTCAAGGCAACACTCAAGGAGTATCTTGATTTTACCATTTGAGTGAGATGTCAGCAACAGATTCCTTTTCAGGTTCATAATCTTCCTTAATAATAAAGTTGGATTTCTTTTATACCAGTTGTTAATTGTATCAAGAAATTTACTTTCAACTAGCTTTGTAATTTTTTAAGTCAATGTAATACTCAGACTCGAGGCCAATTATCTGAGAAAACACTTTGATTTTCCATCAACCCTATTACAATATTATACACTTTAGCATTATGTAATTTTGCAAGGAATAATTTAATTCCATAGGTAAATTCACTCTAGAAAAAGAAATACAACCCAAATCCCACCTTCAAGATACCACGAAACTTATGCAAACAGCATATTGTTCCCTATTCTTCAGATTTCTCCTCCTCTCCCAAGGGTAAATCCAGAATTTCACAGCTCCTCTCTAAAGCCTATTGCTCTTTCATGCAACTCCCTGTCACCTTTCTGTCCTTTCCCTTTACTTTGGCACAAAATTCATTATATACCAGCCTTTCTTCCATCATTTCATAGAGAGAAGAAATACCCACCTTCCTTCCTCTAACCAGTCTTCACTTTAGCATTAAGTCTCAGCTTCAGCCCAAATCTTTTCCCCATGTATCTCTACCCTTCTCTTACCCCAGAGCAAGAAGCAATGCAGATGAGGGAGAGAAGCCTGTCTCTTTTTTTTGTTTCATTGCCACACTGCACTTTCTACAAGGAAAATGCATAACCAGGCAAGAACACGATAGGATCACCAGTGCAGAGGTGCCAAATGTTCTACAGCCATGGGTATTCCTGACACACAGCAGCTCAGAAATGTACTGAAAAAATTACCTACTGCACAAAGGATAAGCAAATCACCACCTGAAATAATAAATGTATTCCTCACTTTAGCTCTTTAAATCTTTGCTCAACAGAATGTTAAGGAAATCAACATTAAGGTGCAAAAGTATTTTCAGTTTTTGTTTTCTGTGGTACTCATGCAATTCTGTATTTGTGGGATGTGTTTTTGGAAAATTCTGCAGCTACAAACTGGGTCACTGCATTTCCCCAACATGAAGTGGAACTCTGAAGATAGATTAAATGTGATTAAGCATCCAACCAATGTCACACATAAACCAATGTAAGCATAAAGTTACTACAAGGTTGGTCGTAAAAAAAATAATCTAAAAAAAATAAAGCCCGTATTGCAAACCACCAATTGATCTGATTGCCTCTGCTTTTCAAAGCACTCACAGAATCTTTTTTGGACTATTGTCAGAAGCCAGATTTCTATTGCCCAAATGAAGAAGTAAAGTTAGTTAAAACGGGAAAGCAAGAACAAAAAAACCAATTTTTACAAAGAGCTTTCTGCAGGTGGTACTTTAACCTACAATTCCCTTTAAGGGATTCTTCACATTGTAAACAAAGCTGCTGATACTAGAAAAGAGCAAAACACAATCCATCTGACATGGCCAGGACAAAGGCACAGAATTACTTAGAAGGCCCCATTCTATTTTATGGCTTTGAAAGATGTGTTTGGATCTGAACTAGGCACCTTCCTGCATTTGTTGTGTACAGATCAGGGGTGATTTGTTGACAGATGGAACTTGACTCTTGAGGTCAAACAGTAGGCCCAAAGGAGTTAAAAGGCAGCTCAGTTGATATTGACCCTGCTCCTGCCAGGACAGGGCAGATTTCTTCAGCTTTTTTTAGGCTGTAGACTGAACTGTTGGATCTAGTTCTAGACAGAAGCTGCATTAATCACATGAATCAGAAAGTCTCTGCCTATTTATGCTGTCATCTCCTTTTTCTGTTTAGTTTCTGTCCCCTGTTTACTCCCTAAGTTCTTTGCTACCTTGGAAAACACATCTTCTGTTTCTGTGGGGCTTTTATGGTAGGAGGGACTGGTCCATGTGTACTTTTCAGCTTTCTTAAATCTGTATCTGCAAATGATAACCCTTGTGTGTACAGATTAAGTTAATTTCAAACTAATTCACTCACTTTATGATGATTTTCCTCCCAATATTATGACTGTGATATTGTATGTTATTTTTACAACTGAGTAAAAATAGCATATCACTCTACTACCATTAGAATGTCACAAATTTTTACATTAATTATACATCTGTTCTCATCTTTGCTTCATAAGCACTGCAAATGGTTTAGAAGAAAAGTAACATTTCCTTATGTAAACCACAAATTTCCTACAGAAATATCATAACAGTGCGGCACAGACATGCAACATGAATTATTTAGGCTATTAAAGTCTTATGCTACAGTCATGCATGTATTACTCTGCATAATAGAAATGGAGGGATAGATAAGTATTTCATTTTTAAAGCTTCAGACACAAAAATACACAAAAATCAAGTGGGTACTTCAAATTAGAAAAAAAAAGAAAAGGAACAGCAGAATTTACATGCAATGTATTTATTACTTTGTAAGATCCTTCAAATTTTATTACTTTCAAGAATGAATGGGGAAAAAAGATTGCTGTCACACAAATTTTCTTGTCTCCTTAAAACTCAGGAGGTTTTCATTTAACTTTAGGGGCTGCTCTAAGTAATTTATAGTGTATTCTGCAAGTAGTTTAAATTTTAATCTGACATTTCTCTTATAGAAGATCTTGGAAAATTTAGTCTTTAATATTCAGAAAAAGGTTCACCTGAACTCCATCCTCAGTACAGCATGATATTTAAATAATAGGACAAAAGCAATAATGTAATTTCTTATAATCAATTTTGCACAAAATCTCATTGGGCATTTCAAAAAGTTCACCTTTAAAGCATGAAGAAATGTATTCCAATTCTATTTACAACTTATTCTCATATATGTAGGAGAAGAAAGAAGGTGAGCAAGAGAAGTTTATTTTAAAAAATCATCTTGTGGGTACAGTATGATTGCTGCCTGGTGCCAAAGGAAAAGGATCTTGCATCCATTGCTTTGCAACTTCCAACAGGCTGTCCTTTTAAAAATTAACCACATAAAGGCAGAAAAAGCAGTTAAGAAAAGGACTGACTTTGGAATGCTGCACACAAACAGATTGGAAAGTAACAAATGAATTCTACACAGCAGAATCACTAATATTGATCTAATGACTGGCCAGTATTTATGAAAACCAAGCTAAAAGCCAACAGTAAAAAGACTCCATTCTGAAAAGACAAGCACAGGAGCAGTGTAAATGACATGAATAGAAACAGAACTACCACAAAAGTGACCCAAGATGATACAGAAAAAAAGGGTTTTATCATTGAAAGGGACAAGCTCTTTCTCCAGCACTGTGCCAGAAGGTAGAGGTGATAATATCAAGTTTTATGCTATTGTGCTACAATTTATGACTAAATTCTAAACAAGGTAACCAATAACTCCAAAAGTAAATAGAGCAGATTGTGCGGGAATCTCTTTTCCCATACACAAGTCATGACATATCCATGACATGGCTGGAGCTACAAAACCTAACCATAACAGATGGATTCCAAAGCTGGAATCCTGGTCCATGGACACCCATGGCAAAGCTCCCACTGACTCCAGTGATGGCAATTCCTCCTCTAATGTGCAGTATCACATTACTTAAGCTACAAACCCACTTCTTCTATATATATACTCTCCAAATTACATAGTAATTCTGACTAGGATTACTATGTAAACTATAGCTTTTAAATTGCTCTTACAGTTACATCATTTTTCTGTCCTGTGATGCTCACAGCACATTAAATGGAACAGCCCCAGCCAAAAAGATGGAAACTCCTCTCTGTAGAGAAAAGGTTTGTTGCTGCTCTTCCTCAAATTGAAGGAATCAAGTTAAAAGAGATATTGTGCAATTAAAGCAGTCATTTGTGAGAATATTAATGGTAAAGAAGCCAAAGCAATACTCTGCTTTTGCACTTTTGCAAAGACTGCCTTTTACATTTATCATTTTATATTTCACTATTTTCTTCACCTAATTACAAAGTTTCCATGTTCCTAATGTGTGTATGCTAAATGTATACACTCTTTCATGAGTAGAATTAATCTATTTTAGTCATATGGACTTTTGAAAATACTGCCAGTCATTTCCTAGATATTATTATTCATCTAATTAACTCAGTCACTAAAGATAAACTGAATAAATTAGGAGTTATAGAAGTTTGAAGGATCAAATAAAGTACTGTACAAGGAGGAATTAAAAAGCAAAAGGAAAAAAAAATTCTGCATGCATTTTCTAATGGAGAAGTTGAGGACCTAAAGGACGTTTGTTTTCTCAGAAACACAATATGTACCTATTTAATACATTTTGGATTCTTAAACAGGCCTTCAAGTCCACAAAGTTCAGTTATTTGGATATAATGGATACAGCAGAGTGAGCGCCAGGAGTGTTCTGCAAAGCTCCACAGAGGAAGAGCACAACACAGTAAGGGAATGGATCCTCATGCTTCCATATGTTACAGCGGGCATTTTAAACATGAACTTACTGGATTGTACATCTGATTGAACAACTGCTCAGCTTGCTACATTGCAAAGTTGGTAGGGAGTGAAGCACAGACAGGAAAAGAAGGAAAGATCCAGGAAAACAGCATTAGCTCAACAAAACCAGTGCATTTGCACAGAAGAACATGTCATTAAAAAAAATAAAAAAGAAAAAAAAAAGTAGAAATTTAAGATTCTAAACATTCCTTGGTGAAAGTGAGAGGCACTGGGGAAACATAAATGTTGACTTTGGCTCCTAAAAAAGAATAGCTGGAGTAAGAAACTTAAGGTTTGTGTTACTTTCCCTTTCTCAAGTTAAATAACCCATGAAATAAAGAGAGGTGTCCACTTTTGATGATACATTAAGTGCTGGTCTCAAGCAATGAATCACGAGAAGTGCTTTTGGCTGAGGCTGCAATTTATCACCAAAGCTTCAAAGACAGTAATAATAAAAGATTAATTAAATAGCATCATTAAATTTATTACTTTCCTTTCGTTTAATACAATACTGAATTTTCTATGCAGAATGACTTTCAAACAGTACAGCTTGGCAAATAGTACTTTAGCAACTGCAAATATGTCAGTAAGCAAGTAAATTTAAGATAATGAAAAACAACAAAAGAAGGAAATTCTGGAGTGGATAATAAAGATTATATATACACACATATATAAAACACTTTGCTACCTATTTGGTAATTCTCCTGCTGTTCTTTCACAAGTAGCAATACAAAGTAAGTCAACAAAAATCTACGGAATTTTGGGAAAAAAGCATTGACCATTCTCTGGTATTTAGAATTATGTCTTTTTAAATTTTTTACGTATTTCAATCCATAATATTTATCACAAAATGTCCAATAAGCGTGTCTATAATTTAAAGCATTACTTTTTATACCAAAATATAGCACAGTCACATAAATAATTACTTTGTACAAATATCCTCTTCATTATTTTTGAAATGTGCCTACTGTGTGAAATCATGGGTTTAGAATCAGATCATTCTTCTTGCCAAAATGTAAAAAAATCCAGTTACGCAGTTCTAAAAAATATCTGGATCTAATCAGATCCAATAAAATCCATTTTTATTATCAATAAATGAATCCTATTGTCTCCAAAAAAACAGAAAGGAGGGAAAGCTGGGGAGGAGAAACTCCAGAAGTTGCTTTGGTGTTTTTTATTTACAATTTCAGTTTAGACTTGCCCCTTGTGCACACTTTCCTTCAGACATAGCACTTACCACCATTAGTGCTCATGCAAAACTAACTCCCAGCAAGCGTGCACAGAGGACTACCTACATATTTCTTAGTTTAACTTGCTAAAACTTATAAATCAACATTGAACTATAATTATTTTACAGCAGCATAACAAAGTACCTCCTCCATGATATTTTTAGAGAGGAGTACTGTGTAAGCTACTTGGAATTTTTTCAGGTAGACAGCCCCTTGGAGTGGGTTTGGAAAGAGAAGCAAACTGTGCCAGATGCCTCTGCTCCTGCAGGGGTTGATGCTCACACGTGAGCACACTCACGGGACACGTGGGCTCATTTATGACCCTGTTGCTGTCCCCTCCTCCTCTGAGCCAGACATGCGCGAGAGTGACCCAGGTTTCTGTTTCACTCACTTTCCTGAGGAGTGAGAACACGGTGCAGGTATTTTTCTGGGGACCAATTACTTTTAATGCAGAGTACTTACAGGGTTGAACATAAAGTATTTCATTAAAGAAAATGTGAATTGAAAATGACTGTTTGGAGTCTACTGTCATTAACAGTCACTGTTTCTGTTCAATTAAGCATGCCCAGAAAGGAGGTTGTAACTGCATTTTATTGTGGAAATACCTGGTCTCATACAAATGGTGGGTGAATTTCCATTGGGGCTTTATGCTGCATTTATGATATAATAAAACTATTATGTTTTCAACTTTCATTCAATAATTGTTTGTATTTATACACAAGAAACATGCTCCCTTTTCATACAAAAGACATCCCAGACACTCTCTGACTTTTCTACGTGCTTGTTTTTCCATTACTCTATGATGTGTTTAAATGTACAGTCATAAACGATTGACTTATTATTTCAAGTCCTTCAAGAGGATTTTGACGAGGGTTTTTTGAGTGATCTGTGCTTCCAGGGCTCTTTTAACTATATTTTTTAAATGAAGAAAAAAATACATTTCAGTATCTGTTGAAGTGGAGTGCAAAGTAAACAACCATTTATTCTAACAAACTAAAGCAAACTAAATTACTTCCTAGATAAACCTTTTTTTTGGAGATTTTAATTCTACCATCAATAGCATTTTTAAGGTATCGGACATTTAAATTATTTGTGTTTCCATTTGTATATGTTTATTGAAAAAAGCTTCCCTTCCTCTCAACTAAAGATCTAATGCAGGCACCTACTTGCACATATTCATTCTGAATTAAGACAGAATACAAGTATAAGGTTTACACGCTGGTATCCTTTATAATTTGCAATACCTTCTTCACAGGTCAGGCTATTGAAACAATGCTTAATCTGAGCAGGATACTACTCAACCTGGGTAAAAAGAGTGTCAGAATATTATGCTAACAGTGATAACATTCACAGAACAAATATTAATTACCAGAAAATGAAAAACTATACCAATATTAAAAAAAAAAACCAAAAACAACACTTGATGTACACTTAGTCATGAATTGCAGAAGGCAAACGTAATGCCTGACCCCATCACATACGTAATGAGAACAATGAGAGCAGACATTACTACAACACAGAGAAAGGTCAAAGAAACAATGGTATCAAAACACTTGCAAATCATTTAAGCAAAATCTAGTTTATTGCAGCAATTTAAGTAAAACCATGTAATAAAATACAGGGTTTGTACATTTTCCTTTAAATGCTTGCTTCCACTTCTTGCTGAAGAGAAATACTGAATTGCCAGCTGATATAAACTTTTGAATATTTTGCTTAATTATCACAAACATGTGTTCACCAACAAAGCCAAAAATGCATCAAAATAAAACCTAGCTAGAGTTTTCATTTCAGAAGCTGATTTTTGTAATTAGGAATTCCAGCATTTCTTAGACAAGCCTTTAATTTTTTTTCTCATCCTGCAAACATTTCAGTTTACTTCTAAAAGTGGTGTTAATTCACACACATAAATTGCTGGTTTGATAATTCCTTTCTGCCCTTTTCGCCCCAATGCCCTGTTCTCAGTTCATCTATTTGTTGCAGCTTCTCAGAATTCCCTCATAGAGCTACTGAGGACAATTTCTGAGGCTCACTACTGGCTTTGGTACAAACCTCTTGAGAAAAAGCAGTACTTGATGCAAGCATCAGCAAACAGCATAAGATGGGTAGATTCTAGATTTACTCCATAAGAGTAAATAAGCTCATCATTTCAAAATGAAGGTATGGGATGCTGATTTTTGTTTTGCTGATTGTTTGTTTGTTTTAAGATGGAACTTACCTTTTTCAACTGTGCTTCCAACTTACTACACTCTTCTTTCTTTTGTTCTATGGCTATTTCTAAAGACTTAAGTTTGGAGTCTCTTTTCAGCCCTGCTGATGCCAATGAAGATGCATGTTCTTTGAGATCGATTAAACTAGACTGGAAAACGACCAAGAGTAAAAAGTTAATTCCTAGTCACCAGGACACTAACTCATTGCCAACTTAGCAATCACTTGGATCCTGCTCCCCCTCCCCCAAAAAGAACTGACTCAAAGATAAGCATTGATAGCAAAAGACACCATTTTGTGCATACAACTGGAACCACAGGAGCTGGCATGCACTGAAACGCAAACATTCATAGTACAGACAAGCTCATCATATTCTGGAGGTACAAACACACTGAAAACCATTTCTCCAACTGACAAACAAAAACAGGAGCAGCAATTGAATATTTGAGCCTAGTGGAAGCTTAGGTAAAGGACAAAGAGATAACGATGCACAACTATGTAAAAACTGAAGCAATATTTTATGTACAAATATGGACTGTGAAGAATGCTTACGAAAACAGCAATTCTGAAGCTGAACACTGAAGTGGCAGAATTTCAGTACCTGACACAACTCAAGAGTAATCCTATGCACTTTCTTTCATCATAATGACATAGATAGAAGAGCAGAGTTTTTAAGAAAAGACTGACCTCTTTTTCTGTCAGTTCAGCTTGTAAAGCATTAACCTTCTCCTTCAGGTCCTTGTTTTCTTTTTTATAAGATTCAATTTCTTCAAGTCTTTCTCTGTCATCTCGATCCCTTTGCTCCTTCAGACGCTCTATTATTCTTTCCTAACAAGGGAAAAAATTGCAAAACAGAAAAGTTGGAAATAATTTTAAGAAAAGACAGCATTAAGTTTTTTTGCATTATGTAGCACTTATTTAAAAAAAACCTGCAGAAGCAGAGGATGATTGAGTTAATGGCATTAAAGTCAATGCAAGATTTCTCTAGATTTCAAAATCATAAGATCAAGTTTAAATATTTGATAAGAGCAACACAGTACAGGAACTTCATTAAAGATCTATACTGATAGAAGTATGTTTAGTTTTGTGATAGATGTGGAAAGATATTCACTTCAGTAATGTATTTCCTGTGTTCATAATTGATTGAAGTCTTGAAAATAAGTTCAAAACAAGCCATGAATAGTTTCCTCAGAGGCCATGACCAGTTTACTCAGCTTCAATTTTGTTATTACTCTACAGTGCTTGCAGTAAGATGTCAAAGTTCCAGATCTAATCAGCCACTTGCTATCAGTAACTTACAGTTTACATGTATCATATTTTGAGATGTCAAAAAAACAGTTGTCCAAGACACAGAAAAAGTACCCTAATACAAATTAAGAAACCCAAAGGAAGATTTTTCTCTGTCTAATTTACAGTAACCCTACAGGCATTTAAACTCAGCCATGTTTCTGCATATTTTGCTGATCTCCAATAACTATTTCAAGGTTTGCTGACAATCACCAGCCATTGATTGGATGATTAATTCAAAGGGTGAAATGGAAAAAGCAAACACAGTAGTATGGTTTCATTAAGCTCTGATTATGTTCTACAAAACCACATTTCATCAATATTTGGAGGATGCGAACACCAATCAGAGAGAAATACTTAGGGTAGAATGAAATAACCACTAGAAGTGCATTCCAACTGGGAGCAGGTCCTTAAGCAGAGTATCAGAAGAACCACTGGGATCATTGGATGGTGGCAGTCAGGGGGCATAGAAGTAACATAATTTAGGTCCTGCACTTGGCTAAGGGCAATCCCAGGCTGGGCAGACAACAGGCAGAGCAGTCCAGAGGAGGAGGACTTGGCTGTGTACAGTGACAAAAAGCTCAACATGACTCAGCCCGGAGCACTCAGAGCCCAGAGCCCCACCTGTGTTCCTGGGCTGCATCCAAAGCAGCGTGGCCAGCAGGACAGGGGAGGTGACTCTGCCCTCCTGCCCTGCTGACACCCAGCTGGGGGACAACTGCTCCAGCTCTGGGGCCCCCACACAAGGACACAGAGGTGCTGCAGAGGGTCCCAGGGAGGGCCAGGAAGATCTGAGGGCTGAAACAACCTGGTTTAATGGAAGGTGTCCCTGCCTGCAGCAAGGGGGTTGGAACTAGGTGATGATCTTTAACATCCTTCCAATCTAAACTCATGACACTAAATAACTTCAGGTTTAATCCTAATAACAAACAATGTAAATTCTTAATAGTTTGAACATTAACATTAAAGACGCCAGCCTCCATAAAGTAGAATAGTTTAATAATCATAAACATTCAGATTCCACCTGGTTATAGTCAGAATTAATTTTTTACCAATTCCTTCTTGAAGATTTATTTACCCAAATGATTTTTTCATCTACAACAAATTAAACATAACACTATTTCATCTTTTTAATGAACAGTGTATTTTGTTCTCAGTCAATCACAAAAGAAGACTAATTTATCTGTCAGCTGCATAAGGCTAAATGTCAAAAGCGTGTTAAAAGGCCCTAATAAACCATGTTTTGCTTGATTAACAGCTAACTTGCAGAAATCCCAACAATGTGTTCTTGTTTCAGTCTTGTTTGCATTGGGCAGCTTTCCTTATGCACTAATCTGGGACCTCACAGGTCTAATCTATTTGCACTTTATCACAGAAGCAGGAACTGAATTGCCCCAGCATATAGCTCCATTATCAGACATACTCCATTGCTTATCTGCTGTATGCTGCTACAGTAGGACCAACTTTATAAATATCAGCTTCATGAAAGCAACCTCTTGAGCTGCTTTGGGCCAGCCCAAGAGCTGAGATATTCTTTGAAAAGTTTCTTGTTATAACATCAAGGCAGCTGATAGCACCTTTGCACAGTCTGATTTTCAAACCTTTTTTTCTTTTTTAATTGCAATGTAATCCTTATTATTGCTGCCACAAATTTTCAGTGCTTAGAGGCTCCGAAATTAGAAATAAATAGTTGAATGAATGTTTTGCAGCTTAGTTCCAAAATGAACTCTAATGCAACTGAAGTTGATTTGTTTCTGCATCCTGACAAGAGGAAAAATCACACCAGCAATATCATCAGAAAAATTATAACATTAAAAGAGGGAAAATTTGACATGGTTTTATTATATCTACATCAATTTCTCATTTAGTGTTCCCAAGATACCTAATCACTAAATACAAAAGAAAATCAAGAGACAGATACTTGGAAAAATCTATTTCCATAAAGAATAAGGAGACACATTTTCTAATTCAGAGCCAAAATCTTAATCTGTGTATTTTCAAGAAAACTGCAGGAACACATTTGAGTTTTGGACTTTAAAAACAGCTTTATAATTCATTAATATCATATGATCATGTTTTAATTTGTTCTTTTCTTCCTGTAGATGCTAAGAAAAGCACTTCTATCAGATTCCAGTAAATTGTGGTTAGCTAAACTTGTATGAATAAATTTTATTTCTATTTAAAAAGAGCTTCCCATGACAGTCCTGAAGTATTTTATTAATTATTTTTTAATTAAAATTCTAAAAACTATTGAATGGACAAAGAATTAATTTAATGCAAAAAACAGCCTAATCTCAGAGTACAAACACAAAATTATATAGTTGAAAATGTCCGATACAATTTCTAGAAAGAAAAAGCATGCAAACAAAATGGAAACCAGGTATTCTTAAATGAAAGCATCATCCTTTCTTGACAGCATTACCTGCTGAATTGATAAAAGCACTTACATTGATGCACTTGCTGATAATTCACTAAGGGTTCCCGTGTTGTCCCACTTGGACAAACCTCTATCCCAGATTTCTAGCAGTATTCCCAATGGAAATATTTAATAACTATTGATAAAGTCTGTAGGTCTGAAGACTATGCTGCTGCATAAGAAATTTACTGAGAGCAGTCAGGAGGAATTGGGAAGCTGGACACAGAAAGGAATGAGGCACATGTGTAAACAGACACTGTCAAAGTATTTAGCTGCCAGAAGACAGAAGAAAGCCAGGTGTAATTGTCCATTTGGAATTTCTAGAGGATGGCAACTGGCTTCTTTCAGTGTGTAACTTCATCCCAGAAATCACCCCTGACTTCAAAAAATCTGCCCTTCCTAGTGTGGCCTTCAAGGGACTTACAACAGAAAAGGAATTGAGGGTGATTTCCCTGTACAACAACCAAAATCCTACAGAGAGATGCATTTACCTTGGAAACTTTCTCCTCCCTGTGGCTCATGCTCTCAGATCAAGCACCCCATTGTTCAAAGCTAATCTCAATCCTAATTTGGCCGTGGTGCTTGCCTCCTACTCCTATGCAAGTCTCCTACTCTATGCAAGTCACTCTGCTTCCCAAAGGACTGTTTCAAAAAACCATCAGCTGCCTCTATGGGCATTCTGGGAAAGCGACTAATCCAGAAAAGATAGTTTACAAGGAGAGAAAACAGATTTAAAATTACTTTCTGTTATTTTTTTATTAACATACTGTGAAATTGATGAACACTGTGTCCAGATTAGCAGTGAAAGATTACAGAAATGTATAATTTTTTTGTATAAATAAATGCTTATCCACATGGCTCAATACCAATAAGAACTTTTTTCACTGTTGTTGACCAAGCAAATGCAAGAAAATCAATTAAACACACAAGAAATAAAAAATTTGACATGAACATTGTATGTGTCAGTGCCAACACCACAGCAGCATTTTCGAGTCATATGCAGTCATAAGTACCTTCATAGGATTACACACATATTACTTTACTGTTCACATTTCAGTAGTATATATTAAGATCCGTGAGCTGAAAAACGTGGGTATTTGTACTAAGTTTTTTGGCATATAAATTCACTTGCATTACCTCGTATTCAAAGAGAACTGAAAGAAGAAACCTGACCTCACTGAAACTGGTAGGAATGTTGCCACTAATTTAAACAGTCCAGATTTATCCCTTCTCCTAGGTATTTTCAAATTAAAGGCATAGAGTTTGTAAAGGAAAAAAAAAAAGGAATGCTCAATATTTTTTTAATGAAACATTTTCCCTTAAAAATGAAGTGTAGGAAGCCAATAGTGCTCACAGCAAGCCAAGGTAACAGTTGGTACAGCCAACTGTTAATGGGAAAAATAACAAGATAATCAAGATCACAAAGACAGAAAAATGCCGAAAATTCTACCTTCTTAAAGTCAGGTGTTCACTGCCTTTCAGTTCTTTCAAGGAATAACCACTCACCCCATTGACTAAGGCAAAATCTTCCCATGTCCTGGACCATTTTCTCCATAAGCATTCAAAGGGCATCACTCCTTCCCCTCCAAGTTCTGTGTCAGTTCATCCCCTCACAGTCACTCCTGCTCATCCTACCACAACAGGGCCTGCTTCCCTGACAAGGCCCCCAGCCTTTGGGAGAGCTGTCAGGCCAACGCAGAAGCACATTTTCTGCACACACTTCACCCACAAGAGCAGCACATAAAGGTTTTCAAGAGAAAACTTTACCTTTTCTGATAGGGCTTCCTCTAAGGTTGCCAGTGCTGTGTCTGTATTACTGGAATCCGTCTGCAGTGACTTCACTCTGTCTTTCAGATTAGTTAGTTGTTTGTCTTTGTCCCTAAGTTGCTCCTGTAGATTTTCAATCTGTGAATAAAAACATTACAATAATCATCAACCTTGTCATAACATTCCAAGAGGGACCTGGGTGCTGAGTGCCTACACATCACACATATGATACACAAGCCTCATTATACTGCCAGGTGTGTAACTGCTATATCATCAACAGTTTTAAACTTCAGTTCTTTCTATTTTGTTTTCTTTTGCTGAAGTAGTATAATTTTCCAATAAAGTAAAGGGAAAATCTCACTGCAGTCAGGTATTTTATTATTTAAATATTTTCTGATATTAATCACTCTAGTTTAAGGTACTGCGTTATCTCAGTAATTCAAAGTATGTCTGGAATTACCCCTTTAGTATATTCTAGTTCAATAAGAAGGACCAAAAAAGGGTGAGGCAAACCAATTTGAATGAGCCTTAAAATGAGGAAGAAGAAAGATCATAACCTGCCTATCTAAAAATCTCTTCTTCTTCCATGATGCCTTGCTGTAAGGAAAACTAAGCTGGGCAGAGATCAGGATGTTTGTTCTCAAAAAGGCCAAACCCACAAACAACCAAACAAAAAAATCTCAAGGGACACCACTTCCATTCACTTTCTTCACCTCCATGAATATTTCAAGCATGTCACTCTATTTTGGATATTTAACTTCTTTAAATAAAACTGGTTCCTCATCTAGAAAGTATTTGAACATGTTGCTCAAGTACCTATAGGCACACTGTCTTGATTTATAGTGGTTAATTCAGGAAGAGTTAAATCACAAAGGTTTTGCACAAGAAGTTGTCCACAAAGCAATGTGGAAGCCAATGTGAATAAAAGCACTCAGCTGCTGATTGTGATGGCAATCCCCTTCTGTGGCTGTAAGGCACTGTGACCTCTGGGCAGAACACAGGGGGGTGTGTTGTGTCAGATGTGTAAAATTTCATTAATTGATTAATTGTCTGTTGGAAGAATCCCCCTCCCTCCATCCTGCATTCTCAGTGCCATTCATTATTATGCACCAACTGGCAAAAACCCAAGATTTGTTACTTAAGACTTCGTACAAACAAATAGTAACAAGAAAATTAACTGGTCTGTTATTTTAGTATGCCACTTCAGATAATATAAGAAAATATGCCAAAATCCATGAAGTATCATTTGCTCAAAACTGGTTTTAAATACGTTGTCAACATTAGACAAATTATTACTGTCAACAGATATTCAAACTCTTACTTTCATCAGTGATTTTTTTCAGTTTGGATCACGTTCTCTTGCTACTGAAATGAACTCAGTTTTCCTGTTCATTTTATAATGATTTCTTTTTTCACATAGCCAATATCTTTCCATTTAAAGAAACTTAGAGTTTAAGAGAAGCAGAAGTTTTACAGTTAAAAGATTTTAAAGATCTCTTTACAAATCTGAAGTTGAATTCAATGCATGTGCAGCTCTGCAGAAATCAACAGTTATGTCAATAAAAATTTGATCTCCATATGCAAGAACATACCACCATAATCAAATACACTTTAATTTGGGGCACACCTAGGTAAAAATTCTCCTCCTACTACATTATACAAGTGTGGGAGAAAAAATCCTGAAGTTTTGACATCATATATATCTACAATTAACAAGTCATAAAATCCACAGTACAGCTGTGTGCACTGCATAAAGTGTGTTTCCAAAAAATTAAATTTTAAAAGAATTTAAATAAAAATTAAAACAAAATTTGAAAGTAAATTTGAAGGAGCACAATTCAATTAGAAATTCTTTATAGTATGTCAAGCACAAGTCTTGTACCTTTTTGTCTTTTTCCTTTTTTTTTTTAATATATACATCACTTGGTGTATCAGATTACTGCTATGAGCCAAAGATTCCACTTGCTGTGTAAACTATAAAATACTAAGGAATATATAGAAAGGTCTTTTTGGGAAGACCTGACATAGAATAGCTTACTCTTGTGAATGACCTCTTGCAATATTTTTCTTCGTGTGTATATTTTATACAGATACAGAAACATGATACACGTGTTAATGAGTTAAGAACTTTTTATTTTATGGCATGTGTATTAGTCACATCTAAAATTACATTAACTGGCATTCAGAGGACTGCACACTATGTTTCTTTCTTTACTTCATCCAAGTATTAATGATTCCAACAACTGCCTCATGACACCCTGTGGAATACTTAAGCAATTGCACATTTCAGCTTCACCAAAACAAATTCTCAAGTAAAAGGGAAATAAAACAGGAGAGTGAATATTGATTACATGTTCTTTGAAACAAAGTTAAGATCTGCTCCTTTACTATCATCAGCTTGACCTACCAATTCTAGGCACCCTAAATTAAAGTACTTATTTCCTATGCACAGTGCTTATCTGAATTCCACAGCATTTACACGATTTCCTTCCTCTTAAAACTAATTGAAAATATGAGCCAACCCTTAACCAAGAAAACATGTTCTAAAATTATTCAGCATTTACAAAATTCTTTCCTCAGAGGTAAAAGAGAACAGCCAGCAAATTAAAAACATCCCCATTGAATCACAACTGCTTTAAAATAAGTCACTCAATACATACTCCATAGATAAAATAAGAGGAAAGGATCTAATTATTCTTCTATTTGTGCTATATAAACCTGAAGGAAATACTTTGATGGGAACAGGACCACACTGGGGTATGCTAAAGCAGAATCAGTACCACAGAGTATTTGTTCTTTGGGATGGGCACAGGATTAGCCAAGACCTACTGATGCAGACAAGACTTTATGACCAGTTAATCACAGAGTTCTCTCAACAAGATTACAGGAGACAAAGAGATTGAGAGGTCTCACATGCTAAAATCTTGGAGCACAAGATATGATTTAGTTCTTCCTGTGATTTTTAAATCCAGAAACAACAAACCCTCTGGTAACCTCTGTCATTCTCTAACACACAAATGTATTTGGGTACAAGCATTTATGTAAGAATACAATTCTCTTACTGAATAATGACTTTTGAGCATGTCTGAATTCAGTTTGTGGCAGAGACTGTCAAGACCATCTTAATCCTCAAGTTCTTATTTTTTCTGATAGGAAGTTAGTTACTGTGAAGTTTTGTCAACATCTATTTCTTACCCCTGTAAACTGCTATTCCCTGTGTCAGGATGAAAAGAAAGTGCTCTCTTCTTTCTGCATTTCAGAAAGTGTGTATATTCCCAGGGCTTAACCCAGACTTTATTCCTTCTTCTAAAACAATACCCTTACAGATAAATGTCTTTCCTACGAGGCATCCTGTCAATAAACCTCAAGTGCTAATCTTGTCACCTTTTGGCGACAGTCTCAGGAATGCTTATTAAATACTCAAGGGATTAAATTAAATCTCACCCCCAGACAGGCTTTAAAAGTCTCCAGTAACCCAAGTTCTCAAAAGAAAACTCCTTTCATTGTCGAAATTAAGGTACTGTACTATGAAACTTGCAAGAAAATTATACAATCAAAGAAAATGTTCCATGCTGTAACAATTTGCCTTCAGAGATATGCATTAAAGTGTAAGAGAATTTAAGAACCTGGAAAAGAGACATTATCTAAGACTTCTTGGTCCCAGCTAATGAAACCATAAAGCCATATATTTAAACTTAGCAGCAACTATTTCCCTCTCTTCTCTCTACTTGAGTTTTAAATAGCTCAGACAATAAGTATTTTGTAACAATGGGGTTTTTTACTCCAAAAGTTCATTTTTCTCTATTCTAAATTTCTTTGGGCAGAAGTCTTCAAGATTTGTTTCACGTTGAAGCACAGACTATGTAAATTCCAGTGAAGTAAATCAATAACATAAGTTTAGTTTTATATAAATTTAAAATTGAAACCCAGGAGAGAAAACGGAACTTTTGTATGTATCATTTCTATTAATTACAAAAAATCTTGGCATTTTAAGAAATTAAATCCTACTAAACAATTTTCCAAATACTGTTACAATCTACTTTAAACAAGAAAAAGGGATTTCATAAGCAGCATTCATCCAACATGAGCATTATCTATGACTACTTTAAAACTTAGTATTCATTTTCAGACATTAGCTTCTGCCTTAGAGACATAGATAGTAAAAGACAAAAGTAATGTAACTATTAATCAAAACAGAAAAAAAACAGGCATAGTTCAAACATAAAACTAAATGGCTACTTACACATAATTTATTTTTATTAGTAAGACTCATGGTAAATGTTCTGGCTCATATGGTCCTTTTCAGAAACATCTCAGGATGTCCCAGAACATGAAACCAGCTTTGGTAGTGACTCAGCAAAATAGATGTCTACAGACATCCCAACATCTCCTTCTGGTGTCTGTGAATGTGTGCATGTTTAATTTGTAATCAAACAACCAAAAAAAATGAAATTATGTCACCATGGCTGTAAAAATATTACTATCTTAGTAATAGTAGACTTAATATAGAGATATCATTTTTCGAGAGCACTATTGGTTTTTAGCAATTTTCTTTTTAGTAAATGGTAAGAAGTTATTAATGGTACAGTTATTAAATACCATATCAGGCACTATATTTGAAAATTAACATGCTCTACAGCAGCTATTTAGAGTTTCAGCCTATGGAGTGAGAGGGGAAATTTTCCTTAGAGTCACGATAATACCTAAATGCAATTCTTAGTTTAAGCAGAACTTCCAATAATAAAATGAGCCCACTGAAGGAGAATTTCTGCTTCAACAGTTTGACATTGCAGATTGCCTTTAGGCTTGAAAGAGACTGCCCCAAAAGTGCTTCCTCAACCAGTGCCAGTAACTTTCACTTGTTCTTCATTTTAAGTAGGTAGATGGACAAGCATTAACTAGGAATATTCCTTCAAAAGCGAAGTATCACATACTTTAACACTGATAGCAGAAGCACAGCCATGAGGTTCAGCCCCCTGAAGAGCACTAAGAGGCGCTCTTATATAAAAGCAAAAGAGTTGCTTTTATGTGTATCTTACTAAAAATGTCACATTTTCTTACAACAAAGCTCTGTCCTAAGGAGTAAGCAGTGGAAGAATAGAGGAATATTTTAAAATCTAGAAGACATTCTTGCTGTA